CAAGAAGCACCAGGTTCCTTGTGACAGTCACAGTTTGTGCTCATGCAGAACTTAGCTGTCAGGTTCAGTGCAGTGCCTGCATGAATCATGTAACTTTGGACAGAAAAAGCATCCCTTACATAGTGTTGATGTTAGTGTTTCTCTGTTACCTATTATAATTTACAGGTCTGGCCTTTTTGCAGCTTCACCTGACATCTGTTCCGCTGTTGATTATGCATACAAGAGCAGGAGGGTGTGTGCGCAAGCCCAACCTTCCTCTCTCCCTAGCTCCATTGACCTTTTCACCTAGACTTTATTACACATGCTTAAGGAATGACTAAACAGGGCTATGGTGCTCCAGGATTCAAATACAGTATGTGATTCTGGATAAGAAAGATCAAAGCTTATGAGGATGTACTCCCTCCTAGACAGTAGGAAAAGGTAGTAGGAAAAGAGGAAGACTGAACACGAGATAGATCAACTCAATAAAGGAACAATGGAACACATGATTCTGATAAAGTGCTCACTATTAGTCATACCAGACTGGAGAAGGAACTGAGCAGGCACATTCAAACCCCACACTACTTTATGAATCCCATTTTCTAAAAGGTGTCATTTACCCCATTATAATTCTTTCTGAACTGAACCAGGAACACTAACAGCTGCAAGACAAGGATCTGACACATATCTGCATCTGTTTCTTTGTGATCTCCACACCGCCTATGGGACATCCAGTAATGTTAAAGAGTCAGGTCACGTGCCATTCAAAGTCTAGCCTGGTCAACAAGGAGCATCACACATGCCAAGGCCTCTCTGAGAAATGTCTGACAGTGTATTCAAAATTATTCTTTCTAACCTTACCATTTCTCAGGTGCTTTGCCTGAGAAGGAACTCCTAAATTTGGTAGTGATACCAATCTGAAGATAAAAAAACTTCTCACATATATATCATAGCCGTTATGGAAGAGTGATGCCCATCTAACAACAAACAAATATTGAGGGTTGGGTCTGGCCTTCTAGGCAATTGTGACTAAAGATTATTTCCTGAAACATTCAGTAGCTTTCACATATCTGTATAGCTTCTGACTTACAATTTGCACAAAATGAATATATTATAAAGACATTATACTAGCAATATTTCTAATGCAAATTATCATTTTAAGCTCTTCAACTGCAACAGGAAATCCTAATATATTGTAAATGAATTGCATTCTGGCAGATGGCTTTCTCTAGCTTTGCCATTCTATGGGGAATTTATCTAGTTGGATGGAGGTGCCTCCTCACACAGAGGGATCTTTGAGGTTTTCTCCCTATCCCAATACGCAAATTAATATTTATTTATTTATTTATTTGCTTGCTTATTTATTTATTTATTTACCATCCATTTAGTGGCAAGCCACTACTCTGTGCGATTTACAAAACATAAAAATGGTGACAACAGCACCAAAAGTAATGACAATTAAAGAAAATAGCATAAGAGTCTATTTCTCTGTCACCAGTGGTTGGGGACGGATGGGGGAGAGGATACTGCGAAAAGCCTCTCTGAAATGCTCTGCTTTTACCAGCTTCCAATAGACTGGAAAGGAAGAGAACTAGTAAATAAGGGCAGAAAGCAGAGGAAGAAACTGTGTGTAGAGTCACTCTCCCTTTACTTCTGGCATTCATTTACTGGTTTAAAACATGGGTCTCAAAGGAGGCCTCATGCCACCCATCAGGTCTGTTCCAACAGAAATTCTGGCAGGTTCTTCCAACCATTAAGAGGAATCAGTAGATGAGCCACCAGGGAATGTGCAAGAACCCAGATGGCCAGCACTTATGAAATGATGATCTCTTTAATTTAGGAGGCAAGTCATTAATAAGTTAATTACAAAGCTTAATGAGATAATGGTTTCAGCCCTGGTTTTCATGAGCCCATCATTGTGTGCACTTGGATGAACAGGCTCAATAAATATCCAGGATGTTATGAACTGCCCTTTATATGTGGATAAGGAATCACATATGTTACCATCTAAGTTGTAACAGTAAGGGCTACTTACTGAATTACCAAATAGTGTTACCAGATCATATTGATCACAGATTACTAAAAGAGAAAAATATATGATAGGCATATACAGTGGTGCCTCGCTTAGCGACATTAATCCATTCCAGAAAAACGTTGCTAAGTGATTTCATCGCTAAGTGATTTTAAAAAGCCCATAGAAACGCATTAAAAGGTGTTTAATGTGTTCGTATGGGCTTAAAAACTCACCTTAAGCGAAAACCCTCCACAGGGGTGGCCATTTTCAGTGCCTCTAAAGCGAGGCAAAACAGCGGGTGGCCATTTTGTTTTCCCAGCGGCCATTTTGAAACTGCCGATCAGCTGGCCGAAAATGGGGACTTTGCGATGATCGCTTCCCCGTGATCATCGCAAAGCGAAATTTCCCCATAGGGACCATCGCAAAGCGATCGCTTTTGTGATCGCAAAAAGTCCATCGCAAAGTGATTTCGTCGCTCAATGGAGCGATAGCTAAGCGAGGCACCACTGTATAAAGAAGGATTATGCTAGGTTACCTATAATGAGAGCAATTGCTTGCTTTTAAGTGAAGAACAAATCTGCATAGATCCACTCATACTTTTGCATTCCCTAGACTAGTCAGCCTCAAGCATGTCATTGGGAATGGCAGTGTAGCATTTCAGCTGAATGTCAGTGGAAGGTGAAAATGTAACCCTTCTCATTGACAATTCTGCTGATTGAAGTGCCTTTACCTCAGTGTATGCTTCACTCAGGGCTAGATAGATGCAATATAGGGGATCCATGTGATGACTCTCTTAGTATTTATTATTTGTATATTTGCTTAATCAATTCATCCATCCATGTACCTGTTTATTACATTGCTGACCCACCTTTCCACTAGCTAGTAGTGCTCAAGACAGCTTCGAAACATCATAAAATAGAATAAAAATAAATGTATAGAAAACAGATTCAAAGATAAAATCAGTAAAATCAACAGTCCAGAAACAGCATAGTTAGAAACCATCATTTGTTGTTGTTGTTGTTTAGTCATTAAGTCGTGTCCAATTCTTTGTGACCCCCATGGACCAGAGCACACCAGGCCCTCCTGTCTTCCACAGCCTCCTGGAGTCGGGTCAAATTCATGTTGGTAGCTTTGATGACAATGTCCAACCATCTCATCCTCTGCCATCTCCTTCTCCTCGTGCCCTCACACTTTCCCAACATCAAGGTCTTTTCTAGGGAACCTTCTCTTCTCATGAGATGGCCAAAGTACTGAAGCCTCAGCTTCAGGATTTGTCCTTCCAGTGAACACTCAGGGTTGATTTCCTTCAGAATTGATAGGTTTCTTCTCCTTACAGGGCAGAGGACTCTCAAGAGTCTCCTCCAGCACCACAATTCAAAAGCATCAATTCTTCAGCGGTCAGCCTTCCTTATGGTCCAGATTTCACTTCCATATATCACCACTTACAAGAAAATTAATGCAGATTTCTATTTTATTATATTGTAAATTTTAGCACCTATTTTGTTACAAAATAACTACTGTTAGACATTAGGAATACTTCCAAAGAGAGGGCTCCTAGTGCTAATACTCAAAGTATATTGTGAAGCTATTTCATCTCTTTTCCTTAACATATTCCCCTAGTTAAGAAAAGGAAAGAGAGAGAGAGAAATAGAATGAGCAATGAGCAGATACAGGAAGGTTAGATACAGATGTTAACCAGTTGTCTAGCACTCTCATAAAATTTTGAGCATGAGACCATGTGAATGCATAGGAAAAGCTTTGTCTGGGGGCACTTTAAGCAAAGACCACCAAGGAATGGACAGGCTTTAGAAGCAGGGAGCTGAGTTGAAATATTTTCACTCTGAGGTGTTGGAGGTCTATGGCAAATGAAATAAGAAGGAAATAAGAAGGGGGAGGAGGAGACTAGCACAAGAAGTAGGAAGCTTACAAAACTCCTCCATGACAGTGAATATTTCCATGTGAATGGTGAGCAAACAGAAATGTTCAGGCAGTCCAAGGCATATTAGCAACTTCAGGAAAAATTCTGGAGCAGTTATATATTTTTTTTCTTTTGGAAACTATAGAGAATTTCATTACAGAGATTGGTGTTCAACTTGACTATAACTCTACAGTATACCAACAGTTATTGAGCTATGCATGAAAAGCATAAACCCTTCACAACCCAGACACCTTAAATTATAAGCCACATTTTCAATAGAGCTACTATTACAATTTCAAATTCAGATTTAAAATTTACTGTAATTTTTTCAATTTCCCTAGTCTGAGGTACATCTGCAAGAGTGTGACATGTCTCACACAGATTCTAAAAACCTTGTACAGAACTGGATCTCTCCCCTCTCCTCCTCACACACACAGCTTGCACTGACATACAAAACTTAGCACTTATTGCAAGAGTGGAACATATGTAGATAGTACTTGCATTTCTGCAAAACATAGTTTCCAGGCTCAAGTCTGAGAATAACAACTACCCCATCACCTGGAAGACCTTCTTAGTTTATTGTAGGTGATAAACATTAGAAAATGCAACAAATGTAGATAGTTTCCCTTCATTACAAAACTGTTCACTATTTGCAGCTTCTGTCTTTCTAGGGATACGAGTAATGTACATCCGGCACATATAAGACCTTGCAAAAAGATTCTTGTCATTTAACCTGCTTATCCTGATGTGTGAAGATCCTCTGTAGTTACCTTTTGCTGAAGGAAATATACTTCTCCTTCAAATGCTCTTCCAAAAATAAATACAGCACACAGCAGCCCCTTTACATGTTATATTTCTTTACAGCCTCTTCACACAAGGGCTTCTGCAGGAAGTTCGGTGGGTGGAGCAAAATGGCATACAGGTATGTTATCACCCCTAGTCTTTATACATTATAATAACAGATGCTTTAAGGATTCAGGGGCAAGCCTGCTCATGACCTGACAGAAGTACTTTCTTTCAAATGCTGGTGCAGCAACCATAGGCACTAAAAGCAATAGCACTTTGTTTTGTATGTTGCTTTGTTCCTACCTGTCTAGAGATATACAGCAGAGATGAAGAATTGATGCTGTGGTGAGGAGGACATCTAGGGATGTGCGGATCAAACAGAACATCTTTCCATAAATCCAGTTATCTTGAACTAGTTCAATGGCTCCGAATGGCATCACCAAAACTGATACTAGCAAGTCAGCAAATGCAAGAGATACTATGAAGTAATTGGTCTTTATCTTCCTGCAGAAAGAACAAACATGTCGTGATTCAAAAGGCAGATATAACAGCAATTCACTACAAAGTCTGAATCAATCTGGCGTTGATGAAGATAACACAGCAACTTCCCAAAAGGTTTAAATTCTGCATTTTGAAGTGTTCCCCCACACACACACACCTTTGTAAAGCAGACACCTGTTTGGAGCCATCACAGTTTTTTTTTTGTGGCACACCCAATGCAAGAACATAGAAACAGCTAGGCTGGGTAAGACCAAGAGCCTATCTAGTCCAGCAAATTGTTCACATAGTGGCCAACCAGTTGTCTATGAGCAATTGCACTCTTCAGCTTCTACTTCCCAGCAACAGTTATACAGAGACCCAGTCCCACCAGCACTGGAACAAATATATATCCACCAGGACTAGAAATGGCCCTGGGTTCTTGTAGTATGAGTGAGGGAGAAAAAACATATCCACAAGAAGGAGAGAACATCTTCCACTATGTAGAAATTTTGCATAATATGACATACCTCCATCATCTCCCCCCCCCCATATTTGTCATTTTCATCAGCTGAACAGCCACAAAGCTTGTAGCCTTCCCTCCTAGAGGATTTGTGCTAAGCGATGGGTGTGGCGGTAGCACAAGCTGAGGAGTGGCACACCACATGCCCAAGAAGGGACCACTGGTGGTAGCTTTTGTCTATCTGCTGCCCATCCCAACCATAAGGTATCTAATGCAACAGTCCCCATAGCCCCACAGCAGGACACAGCAACAGTTGTGGAGAAAGCTGTAGTTCCTACTGCCACCAGAGACCGATTATGGAGAGCAGTGCAGAGCAGCAGAACCTTCCAAAGTGGCAGGTGACCCTGTGAAAGCCATGGGGAGCAAATCTGCAATGTCTGGCACGCCACCAGCGGTGGTGAAGTATTCACAAAGACAAATGCTAAGGTGACTTTTTGTGGAAAGTATACAGTATTCACAAAGACAAATGCTAAGGTGACTTGATGAGTATTTTGTGGAAAGTATACCTGAAATCCAAGAAAACAGTGCCTACCAGACCCCTCGTGGCCATGTTTATGTATTTTTCCAATCTACTTTTAATGAGACAAGAAGTCTGTGTATTGCAACATAGCCCAGTAATTTACATATCTGGCTGTGGAGCCAGAGGTTGGGAGTTTGATTCCTCATTGCGCCTTGATGATCCATAGAGTCCCTTTCAGCTCTGCAGTTCTAAGATTATTAAGATCATTAAACAGTTTTTAACTGCACCAATTTTTGAAATCCAAGAAAACAGTGCCTACCAGACCCCTCGTGGCCATGTTTATGTATTTTTCCAATCTACTTTTAATGAGACAAGAAGTCTGTGTATTGCAACATAGCTCAGTAATTTACAGTACATATCTGGCTGTGGAGCCAGAGGTTGGGAGTTTGATTCCTCATTGCGCCTTGATGATCCATAGAGTCCCTTTCAGCTCTGCAGTTCTAAGATTATTAAGATCATTAAACAGTTTTTAACTGCACCAATTTTTATTACAGTAGCATATGCATTTCTCCTTCATGGAGAAGGGGCTTGAGTAATTCAGATAAACTATGGGCTATGCTGTGCAGGGACACCCAAGACGGACTGGTCATAGTGGAGAGTTCCGACTAAATGCAAACCACCTGGAGCAGGAACTGGCAAACCACTCCAATATCTTTGCCAAGAAAACTCAATGGACAGAAACAAAAGGCTAAAACACTTGAAAATGGGTCCAACATGCTACTGAGGAAGAGTGGAGGACAAGTACAAGTAACTTTAGAGCTAATGAAGTGGTTGGGCCAAAGCCAAAAGGACGCTCGGCTTCAGACGCACCTGGAAGTGAAATGAAAATACAATGATGCAAAATAAAATACTGCATAGGAACCTGGAATGCATGATCTCTGAATCTTGTTAAGCTGGATGTGGTCCAACAGGAGATGGCAAGAATAAATATTGACATCCTGGGCGTCAGTGAACTAAAATGGACGGGAATGGGTGAATTCAGATGATTATCATATCTATTATTGTGGGCAAGAATCCTGTAGAAGAAATGGAGTAGCCCTCATAGTCAACAAAAGAGTGGGAAAAGCTGTCCTGGGATACAATCTCAAAAATGACAGAATGATTTCAATACGAATCCAAGGCAGATCTTTCAACATCACAGTTATCCAAGTTTATGCACCAACCACCAATGCGGAAGAGGCTGAAATAGATCAAGTCTATGAAGAATTACAACACCTTCCAGAACTGACACCAAAGAAAGATGTTCTTCTTATTATAAGGGATTGGAATTCTAAAGTAGGGAGTCAAGAGATAAAAGGAACAACAGGTAAGTTTGGCCTTGGAGTTCAAAACAAA